CAACACAAAAACTCTGAAGAGTGTAGTTATAGGTGTAGCTTAGCGGAAATTCTTCACATTCTAGTAAAAAACTGGGATTCCTAGCACTAGTCCCAAAGGAAAAATCAATTGAATTGTGATTCATTATAGTAGTTTATCACGTGACACGAACCTTTGAACTATCTGATTGAATGAGTCAACCCGTGTATGATAATTAGCTTGATTTTCTCAAATCTCTAACTCCTAATAAAATAAATTAACAAGACAACACAAAAACTCTGAAGAGTGTAGTTATAGGTGTAGCTTAGCGGAAATTCTTCACATTCTAGTAAAAAACTGGGATTCCTAGCACTAGTCCCAAAGGAAAAATCAATTGAATTGTGATTCATTATAGTAGTTTATCACGTGACACGAACCTTTGAACTATCTGATTGAATGAGTCAACCCGTGTATGATAATTAGCTTGATTTTCTCAAATCTCTAACTCCTAATAAAATAAATTAACAAGACAACACAAAAACTCTGAAGAGTGTAGTTATAGGTGTAGCTTAGCGGAAATTCTTCACATTCTAGTAAAAAACTGGGATTCCTAGCACTAGTCCCAAAGGAAAAATCAATTGAATTGTGATTCATTATAGTAGTTTATCACGTGACACGAACCTTTGAACTATCTGATTGAATGAGTCAACCCGTGTATGATAATTAGCTTGATTTTCTCAAATCTCTAACTCCTAATAAAATAAATTAACAAGACAACACAAAAACTCTGAAGAGTGTAGTTATAGGTGTAGCTTAGCGGAAATTCTTCACATTCTAGTAAAAAACTGGGATTCCTAGCACTAGTCCCAAAGGAAAAATCAATTGAATTGTGATTCATTATAGTAGTTTATCACGTGACACGAACCTTTGAACTATCTGATTGAATGAGTCAACCCGTGTATGATAATTAGCTTGATTTTCTCAAATCTCTAACTCCTAATAAAATAAATTAACAAGACAACACAAAAACTCTGAAGAGTGTAGTTATAGGTGTAGCTTAGCGGAAATTCTTCACATTCTAGTAAAAAACTGGGATTCCTAGCACTAGTCCCAAAGGAAAAATCAATTGAATTGTGATTCATTATAGTAGTTTATCACGTGACACGAACCTTTGAACTATCTGATTGAATGAGTCAACCCGTGTATGATAATTAGCTTGATTTTCTCAAATCTCTAACTCCTAATAAAATAAATTAACAAGACAACACAAAAACTCTGAAGAGTGTAGTTATAGGTGTAGCTTAGCGGAAATTCTTCACATTCTAGTAAAAAACTGGGATTCCTAGCACTAGTCCCAAAGGAAAAATCAATTGAATTGTGATTCATTATAGTAGTTTATCACGTGACACGAACCTTTGAACTATCTGATTGAATGAGTCAACCCGTGTATGATAATTAGCTTGATTTTCTCAAATCTCTAACTCCTAATAAAATAAATTAACAAGACAACACAAAAACTCTGAAGAGTGTAGTTATAGGTGTAGCTTAGCGGAAATTCTTCACATTCTAGTAAAAAACTGGGATTCCTAGCACTAGTCCCAAAAGAAAAATCAATTGAATTGTGATTCATTATAGTAGTTTATCACATGACACGAACCTTTGAACTCTCTGATTGAATGAGTCAACTCGTGTATGATAATTAGCTTGATTTTCTCAAACCTCTAACCCCTAATAAAGCAAATTAACAAGACAACACAAAAACTCTGAAGAGTGTAATTATATGTGTAGCTTAGCGGAAATAATTCACATTCTATCTTGGGTGTAGAATTTAAATCTTCCACTCCCAAATTTTTTTCTTCAAAAAAAAAAGATGAATATGAAGACTAGAGAAAGTAAGTGAACAAATGAGCAAGATATATATATTACATTCTTTCATTTATTTATTTATTGACAGAATTTTGGTCCTTTAGAAGAAGAAACATAAAGAGAAGTCAGGAAAGTCTAGAACCTTTACAAGCCATGGGGTTATGTCGGAAACCAGAGAGCTGTCATGAGAAAAAAAAAGATAACTCACCACCGTGTAAATTGGTACTAAAAAATTAAAGTAAAAAACTGGGATTCCTAGCACTAGTCCCAAAAGAAAAATCAATTAAATTGTGATTCATTATAGTAGTTTATCACGTGACACGAACCTTTGAACTATCTGATTGAATGAGTCAACCCGTGTATGATAATTAGCTTAATTTTCTCAAACCTCTAACCCCTAATAAAGCAAATTAACAAGACAACACAAAAACTCTGAAGAGTGTAATTATATGTGTAGCTTAGCGGAAATAATTCACATTCTATCTTGGGTGTAGAATTTAAATCTTCCACTCCCAAATTTTTTTCTTCAAAAAAAAAAAGATGAATATGAAGACTAGAGAAAGTAAGTGAACAAATGAGCAAGATATATATATATATATATTACATTCTTTCATTTATTTATTTATTGACAGAATTTCGGTCCCTTAGAAGAAGAAACATAAAGAGAAGTCAGGAAAGTCTAGAACCTTTACAAGCCATGGGGTTATGTCGGAAACCAGAGAGCTGTCATGAGAAAAAAAAAGATAACTCACCACCGTGTAAATTGGTACTAAAAAATTAAAGTAAAAAACTGGGATTCCTAGCACTAGTCCCAAAAGAAAAATCAATTGAATTGTGATTCATTATAATAGTTTACCACATGACATGAACCTTTGAATTCTCTGATTGAATGAGTCAACTCGTGTATGATAATTAGCTTGATTTTCTCAAATCTCTAACTCCTAATAAAACAAATTAACAAGACAACACAAAAACTCTGAAGAGTGTAATTATAGGTGTAGCTTAGCAGAAATTCTTCACATTCTATCTTGAGGTGTAGAATTTAAATCTTTCACTCCCAAATTATTTTCTTCTTCTTCAAAAAAAAAAAAAAAAAAAAATTAGAGAAAGTGAGTTAACAAATGAGCTATATATATATATATATATATTACATTCATTTATTTATTTATTTATTGACAGAATCTTGGTCCCTTAGAAGAAGAAACATAAAGAGAAGTTAGGAAAGTCTAGAACCTTTGCAAGCCATGGGGTTATGTCGGAAACTAGAGAGCTGTCATGGGACAAAAAAAAGATAACTCACCACCGTGTAAATTGGTATTAAAAAATTAAAATAAAAAACTGGGATTCCTAGCACTAGTCCCAAAAGAAAAATCAATTGAATTGTGATTCATTATAGTAGTTTATCACGTGACACGAACCTTTGAACTATCTGATTGAATGAGTCAACCCGTGTATGATAATTAGCTTAATTTTCTCAAACCTCTAACCCCTAATAAAGCAAATTAACAAGACAACACAAAAACTCTGAAGAGTGTAATTATATGTGTAGCTTAGCGGAAATAATTCACATTCTATCTTGGGTGTAGAATTTAAATCTTCCACTCCCAAATTTTTTTCTTCAAAAAAAAAAGATGAATATGAAGACTAGAGAAAGTAAGTGAACAAATGAGCAAGATATATATATTACATTCTTTCATTTATTTATTTATTGACAGAATTTTGGTCCTTTAGAAGAAGAAACATAAAGAGAAGTCAGGAAAGTCTAGAACCTTTACAAGCCATGGGGTTATGTCGGAAACCAGAGAGCTGTCATGAGAAAAAAAAAGATAACTCACCACCGTGTAAATTGGTACTAAAAAATTAAAGTAAAAAACTGGGATTCCTAGCACTAGTCCCAAAAGAAAAATCAATTGAATTGTGATTCATTATAGTAGTTTATCACGTGACACGAACCTTTGAACTCTCTGATTGAATGAGTCAACCCATGTATGATAATTAGCTTAATTTTCTCAAACCTCTAACCCATAATAAAGCAAATTAACAAGACAACACAAAAACTCTGAAGATTGTAATTATAGGTGTAGCTTAGCGGAAATTCTTCACATTCTATCTAGAGGTGTAGAATTTAAATCTTCCACTTCTAAATTTTTTTCTTCAAAAAAAAAAAAAAGATGAATATGAAGATTAGAGAAAGTAAGTGAACAAATGAGCTAGATATATATATATATATATATATATATATATATATATATTACATTCATTTATTTATTTATTCACAGAATCTTGGTCTCTTAGAAGAAGAAACATAAAGAGAAGTTAGGAAAATTTAGAACCTTTGTAAGCCATGGGGTTATGTCGGAAACCAGAGAGCTGTCATGAGAAATGCAAGAGTCTATTCCCAGAAAGAGAAGCAGTTGGTGTATGCAAAAAAAAAAAAAAAAAAAAAAAAAAAAAAAAAAAAAAAAAACAGAAAATATGCATCATTTTGGCATTGTTTTTGCTGGATCGCCACGGTCAAAATCAATTACCCAAAAAACAACTAGGCCCTGCATTGGACCTTCGCATCAAGAAATTCCATTGAAAAAATATATATGCATTTGATGCATTCCCTGAATTTAACAAAGCATTGAGTAGTATCGAATCGACAGCGACGACCGTTAAAATTTGAGTGAAAATACCCTCGTAGACGTCAAGTAAACTCGTTTGCACATAAAAAGATAATGAACTTTTATATGATATCGGGCTTGCCACATGAGGGCCTCTTTCTAAATATTACTATCATTCATCGATTTTGCATTAAAAAATTATCGTTCATCAATTTTCTTGTTCTATTAAATTTATAGATTTATTGATAATTTGTCAATTCAGTCAAATTTTGAAGACATTCTTTATCTGAATTATATAGACAGTTTGTACACAAATGAAGTCTGTTATTATGAACTCATAACATATTACGTGAGTAAGACTTACTAACTTTTAACCAAAGTAAAGGGCGAATTGTAGCCTCAGCATTTTCTTAAGCATTTTTTCTTTTTTTTTTTTTAAACAAAAAAAGAAAAAGAAAAAAGGGGGTGAAGACTACAAATTTCCTCTCTTTTTGCTGGACACTTTAACCACTCAAAATGAGCAGGCTAATCGATCACTTAAAAACACTTTTAAGCCAATTCTTTCCTTTCAAAGAACAAAGCACTTTGTCAAAAAGAAAGAAAAGGGGTTCAACAACCTAATGCTTGAATAGATTTCTGCAGTCATTAAAAAATATTGCAAGACATGTTCCCTCGCACAAGAGAGTTCTTTCTGCATGAGATGAAAAAACTTTATAACCAACATGATAACATTTACAAATATTGAGGACCGAAATATGGAACACAACCATTTTGCTTCTGCTTCAAATAGTAGAAGAATGCTTAGCTTTGCCGTTTCTTTGCGATAGATTGCTCCACAAGGTACCTATATCAAGAAGCTTAGTTAAAAGTGTTGGTAATCTGGGATTTTGGAAAGAACAAAATATTTTCGTTCCATCATTTTTTAAGTAGAATTTTATGCCATAATTTTGGTAGATCCGAGAGAAGGAAAATTTCTCAAGTATATAAGAACGGTGGAGAGTAAGGGCTTTGATCACAATGAGAATAACATTGCGATTTGATCAATGAAATCCATTAAGCCGCATGCATATATTTTTCTGTAAATAGTTCCCATAAGCCATGTTTTAACGCGTGAAGGGCATAATGCCAATATATGAGTATATGAAAACTAAAAAGGCCCTCAATTAAGGTGCAAGCTAAGAATTAAACAATTACTCTGCTGGATAATACTGTGAAGTAAAGGGATTCAGCTCTCGAAGATAGATTGTAAAAATCCGTAAGTGATTCGTTTCAACTTTATATTTCAGATTTTTTCGCAAACACATAATTTATACTAGATAATTATAGACCACTCCCTCTCATTTAAAACTTGTGCAAATTAGAGGATGAGAAATATTCAGATCTTGATAAAAGGGGAAATAATGATAGAAAAACAGCAATGCCGCACAAGCAAATCCTAGTTGTATTCGTAAGACATGATTTTCTTCACTTATTTTGCATAATTACAGATGTTAGTCATATTATCTGGAACAGGAAACAAGTAACAAAGCAAATACAGAAAATAATAGACATAATACGGATATATAAGAGGAGAAATTTGTATCAGGTCCCCAGATGAATAAGTTACAAGTCTCATAATTTTAGATCAAGTTTTGGAAATACTTACTTTCCAGTGTAGAAGCCAGCAGAATACCATGCATTCAAGACAACAGTAAGATCTGTCTCCGAGCTAGTAGGTGAAACCACTGCCCTTTCTGTACTATGTTTTTCCTTCTCTATGTTACCTGTGCATAAGCAGAAAATACAAGGAAACTTCAATTCAATTGATCCTTGCTGTCTTCAAGTTTCAAAGTCCTAAACTATATAAAGTTGTATATCCATCTGTCCATAGCAGATATACGATTATACATATTAATTCAAGAGAACAAATGATACCACTTCAAACACAAGAGAGTAATATTTCATTTATGTGGATTGTGTAGGTCAACTGTTTTTAATCTTTCCGACATAATTAAGCCCTATCCCAATTTATTTATAAATGGGTCCATGTGTGTCAAGTTGTCAACCTCAAACCTAACATGTTAATTTCATGTGAAAAAGCCGTCAAGTACTAACACCAAAGAATTTCGTGGTTGAGGATCAACAAAAAAGGCGTATCTTTTATCAAACAATGAACACTTCGAAATTTAAAATCATTTGTTGAGCAACTCCAGTTATTAGTTCTCATAAGACTTAGCTAAATGAGATCATGAAGGTTGGAGGAAGTTTTGGGAGACCATTCCATAGTGCTGACAAATAAAAATAAATAAATAAATAAAAGTAACATACATCGTAACCTGAATTTGAATATACCACATGGCACCTCATCTTTGGGTTTCTCCTACCTAAAAATATGTCATCTTAGGGTAAATCGTTCAAAAAGACACCATAGAAAGTTAGAAACAGAGGACTCAACCAGGTTTTCCTCAAAGGGTTCCATACATGATTCACGAATAGGGAGCATATTACCCTCATTTCCTTTCATCTACTAAAACTTTTGCTTTTTTGAAAGTTAACGAAGAGAACAGGAAGAGCAGCAAAACTTCAAAAGAGTATAGTAAAAGAATCTTGCCATCCAGAAAAAGGAGGAAGATTGCTGAAGGTGCCTTAACAGGTCAAAGTAGTGGGCACTGAAACTTCTGAGACAAAGCTTTTAACATTTTACGGCAGCCATTTCTCAGCTAATTTTCTTGATAAACAACTTTTCAAAAGAATCCCTAGTTTAAATCATGCTTACCTTCAGTGGAATTAGAATCACCAGAAACTTTCTCCCTCATTGAAGCTATTGCTCTTTCAGCAGCACCCATTGCTGTCTCAACTATGTTACTGTCAACCTGAGGGGAGGACTTCCGAAAATTCGTTACCTCACATGCATCAGCACAAGATTTACCAACACATGACCCACCCAAGAAACATGAAGGAAGTGAAGTGCACGGAGCAGCAAAACATTGGCTAGCATATGGGCAGCAAGTGCAGAAAGTAGTTGGATTGGAAGCTTGACATACAGGCAATGGATGTTCTTGGAATGTAGAACCAGAACCGTCACCGTAACTTTGGTAATTCCAACTACCATATTGATGAAGCTGCCCAATAATCTGTTGCCTTTTTTGCTCAAGCTCATAATATTGATTCAGCAACTGATTATAGTCATGAGCATCCTGCAAATACGAGTAGCTCTTTTGCACATCCTGAGCAACTTCTGCATACGGCTCTGGTACATGTGGATCTACGGACTGTTTTTCTTTGACAAGAGAAGGATTACTACTTTCTCCCATTTCTGTGACAGTACTTGATGGAAGATTGCTTTTATCATCTGCACCCTCCTGTCTTCACAAGACCCAAGAGATGGTGCAAAATTTAAAGAGTTAAAAATTAAATCTATAATCTTATGAATTATATTACAAATCTAATTAACCTCGTTTGAGCTTAACAAGTAAAAAAAAAAAAAAAAAAAAAAGAATAAATGAAATAATTAGAACAACTCCAAATATGCAAAAGGAAGGAATGGCAAGGCAATAAATTGTTTCACTCTGAGAGGAGTCCTAATTCTGGGGCTATGAAAGTGCCTCCTCAAAGAATAAGAGCCCATACATCCAAGCAACATGATATTAGTCATCAATTCAAAACAGGAAGACAACACCAAAGGCTAAGGCTGAGCAATTATTCTACTCATTCAAATGATCTTATTAGCATTTCCCAAGTATATAAATTTTTATAATGATATATAAAACAGATTATATTATCTAGGAAGTAAATGGTAGATTTGGCCAAATTATAGCCGGGCTAACCTTGTAGCCTCCTGATGGTCATCAACATCAGCAACAAGATGATCTCCGCAGCTGCTTATAAGTTCTCCATCATTTGAAACATCACCAGATTTTTTTCCATGCATTATCTTATTAAAAAAAGAAAAAAGAAGAGAGAGAGAGAGAGAGAGATCCATGATGTCAATTGTCACAACATGCCAGGAACTTGTGAAAATATTTGTAAAATTCAAACTGATACAGAACTCAAGAAAATAAATACATATAAAAACACCCACCAAATATGTTGAAAAAAGTTACATGAGAAGAACAAATACATTGTTACATTTTCCTACCGTGACAGATGAAATTATTGCATTTCTAAGAAACGGATTTTACATGAAAAAGCAAAAGATAAAAAATAAATAAAACCTAGAGTAATTTTCTTCAAAGAGATTACAACCCTTTTTATTCTGCAGTGTTAACTATAATTGAATCGACCCACATCTTTCAAAATTGCACAAATCGATTGGAGTGAATAAATAAAAGAGTAGCAGTCCGAAGGAAGAGCTCTCTAAAGTTCAAGGTAATTCACTAATTCCTAAACCCAGACTGATTTGTTTCATTCATTCATTTATTTTTTTATAAAACCAGAATCAGTGAAGAATATCAAGATGAATTATTTCACATTCGGAGTTGTATAATCGGCATAAACAGAATGGGGAAATGGATTGAGGAAAAGTTAATTAACTGTAAACCAAATAACCAAGAAAAAGAATAAGGGCAGAGAGAGGAAAAGTTAATTAACTGTAAACCAAATAACCAAGAAAAAGAAAAAAGGGCAGAGAGAGAGAGAGAGAGAGAGAGAGAGACCTTGTATTTGGAGATGGCGTCATCGAAGGCATTAAGAAGAGCGGAATCGTCCCACAAATCGCCTTGCCTCCCCATCATACTCTCTCTCTCTCTCTCTCTCTCGGTTTCAGCGGGGAGGGTTTTAGCTGGCTCACTGGGGGGTTTACGCAGAGAGAGAGAGAGAGAGAGAGAGAGAGAGATGGACCGGACTTTGATTTAGGCTTCAACCAGGCCCATGGAGATGGAGGGTGACGAGCACGTTTATTTCATGTGTTTAAATTTAAGAAAATAATAAAAAATAAGTTAATATGAAAAACTTAAGAAAATATATAGGTCAATTTTTAGTTATAAAAATTAATAGGTCATAACTTGTCAAGTTATGATTCATAATCAGATAAGTTATGGATAAACTTGTCAAGTTATGGTTCATAGCCAGACAAGTTATAGACAAAAACCGTGAATAACTTGTCAAGTTATGATTCATAACCAGACAAGTTATGGACGAAAACAGTAATTTGGCATATTTATTAACTTATGTAAACTATTGGCCTATTAATTTTAATTCATCTCAAGTCTTAGTATAATTCTCTCTTTCTCCCTTAAATTTATAGTTTTAATTTTATTATATTATTTTTCTCTCATAAAAAAAATTTAAACTTCAAATTTCATAATTAAAAATCATAGTTTAAATGTGTGAACCAATGGCCCTTAGGAGTCTAAGACCATAACTGCTTTTTTTCCTTTTCTTTTTTTAGAAAAAATTATAGAATTTACTTCTTTAAATACTTGACTTATTAAAAATATCTCTTTAAAAAAACACTACCTCTTGACTAATTTAGTCTAAAAGATAAAAACATATGAGCTAATATTAAGAGGTAGAAATTAAAAGAAGGTTTCATTTCAATGGGTATTTTTAAAAATTGTCATGTTTTTAACAAAAATCATAGTAAATAGTAGATTTTTAAAACTAAATTAAGTAAATAACAGATTTTAAAACTATTTGAAGTAAATAATAGTTTGCTCTGTAAATACTTTATTTTGTAACTGGTAAAAAATAATTTACGTGGTAAAAAATCTTTATTTACGTAGAAAAAAAATATTTTTACCAATTGTAAAAAGAAAATTTATGTGTAAAAATTCTTTTTACTACTTGTAAACGAAATATTTATATGGTAAACTGCTATTTATTTTAATAAGTTGAAAATCTACTATTTACTTAATTTAGTTTTAAAAATCTGCTATTTACTACGTTCGATCACTTTTTTTAATAAAAGAAAAGAATCGTTGGTATCCTCTCACCCTCACTCAGCGCCTATAAAAAGAATCAATTAATGTCATCGATAGAATGATCAAGAAATTAAGAGTTCATTATTTTCACAACTTGAATCACAATTCTAACTTTTTGCTACATTGTTTTCTTTTATAAATATTTAAATTTAATTTTTTTACTATAATATTTTCTCTTACACAAATTTACTTTTTAATTTAAATTTTCAACTCGAATAACATAGGTTTCACCTGTCCACTACTATCTCTTTATCCCCACCATAGGTAAGGTTGCCACTTTTAGGCCTATAACTCTTTTTGTGACGATGTTGGGATTTGATTTCTGGACTGCTAGTGAGAGAGACTTAGGGCACGCGACATTGACACCATGCAACCACCACCGATAGTAAGCCTACAACCACTTGTTTTTTGCTTTGTCGCCCACTGTCATGAATTCTTATCATTCACATGTATAACTCTTATATAATTAATTAGGCTCAAATCTTTTTAAATAGGTGTTTAATATGCTGTATGACTTTGATGATTTGGTGTCTCTTTAATGGTGGACCCTGTACGTGGTATTGTTTGGCCATGTCAGAATCATAGGTTGAAGGTGTTAAACCGAACCCGAACCATTGTAGGGTTTATGAGCCACAGCGACCACACCACCGGCTCCTAGTAGTGTTCTGTGCACAATATGCATCTCTAAGACCATCGCGACAAGGGAGTTGAAACTTGCATGGATGCAGAATGCATCGACGGCTGAAAATCTGGCGACCCTTCCTACCCATTTCACCATAACCCTTCCCCTCCAACTACGCTATCAACATTATCCACTAGATCAACATGTAGGGGTCACACACAGTGGCGGAGCTAGCTCTCAATCTAGTAGGGGCGTAATGGTACACTAATTATTTAATATAAATTGTAAATATGATACAATATAAAATATAATGTATGCGCTCACATATATTTGACCTTAAAGTGTAGGATATAAAGATGAAAAAAAACCACCATAAAGCGCTCACATATATATAATATATAGATCCTAAAGCATATTAAAAAAGCTCACAAGGAAAATAAGTAAAGTACTTGTTTATGGAAAAATATAAAAATAAAATTAAAAATTAAACTTTACTGGGGGTGTATGAAAATTTTATATCTAAGCGGGGCAAAATTAAAAAGTTTAAAATTTTTAAAACATCAAATTTTATTTCAAAAAAATCAGTGGGCGGTTGCCCCCACTCAGCCCTGAATAGATCCGCCACTGGTCACACAGGAGGGAGGGAGAGAAAAAAAAATTTACATTTTTTTATGCAATCTTTTAAATTAAACACCTACTTAGCAAAAGAAAAATGACAAATAAAATTTAGTACAAAAATTAAGATTAGAATTGGTATCACAGTATTATTCATTTGGTTCTCATTTATCTCATAGAATGAGATGGTGACATTAAGGTGTGCATTATTGGCGTTACCTGATCCCTTTTATGATTTTTAGTTTGAGATTTCTATCATGAAGATTTCTGATTGGATTTGTAAATTGGGTGATTAAATTCTTATCCTCCATCTTAAGATTGAGTAAAAAATTATGGAGAATTTCATGTAGGATCAGAAAAAATAAACTACTATTAATTTTTTATTTTTCAGCCGTTAGATCTTTATTAAAAACTGTTTGTTATGCATATTTTTTAAATTTAATATGATTTTAACTAAATCTAACAATTAAAAACTGATACTATCAATACGGTAGTTTATCAGATAAAGTCTTTAAAAATTAACACCAAATATACTGTGTCTAATCATTCTTAGTTGAGAATTGAGCATCACGTAGTGGTAATACCATATCCTTTATATGGATTAGCAAACTCGACTGCTAAAATTCCTTTTAGCAATTTTAATCTAAAAAAAAAAAAAACCCGAAATTGTCATATTTCTATTATAAAAAATAAGTTATCATTCCTAATTATCATTTCTATCTGAGTATTACTTACCTTAAATTAGAGTGTAAACGGTGCGTTTTGACGTAAAACCAACTAGATCGAATTTTAATTTCCTTTTCATAAATTTTAGTAAGCAAACCCTTTTTTGTTGTTGGAATATCTAGAAAAAAAAAAAACAGAGTATTTGAGAGTTATCGGTTTTAAAATTAATGTAATTTTGTTTTAGATTCTTCTAGAATTAGTGAATTACTTACATTATGTTTGGTGGAGGGATTCGTTCCCTGATTCGAATCATGATTCGTGATTCGTTACAATATTTTCTCTCACAAAAAATGCACGTAAATCGAAAATAATTCGAATCACATGATTTGAATTCTCCAACCAAACGTCCTTACAAGATTAGTCAGGTAAGCATTGAACCATCTATGACTGCTTTTCTCTGAGCTGTATCTTTCCATGTTTTCTCTGAGTTGTATGCGCGTAAATGCTCTTAAAGTATGACTCTTGTAATGGTAATTTAATAAATTAAAATTCTTTTTTTGTTTCCATGTTATTATGGCTATGAGTTGGTGGCATTACTTTTTTTTTCTTTTTATATTATATGTTTTGACGGGGGTTGGTAGCCTTATCTTGTTACGTTAAGTTTAATTAGTTAGACTTTTTAATTTTTGCTATGGTGAGCATCCTAAAAGTAAAAAATAAAATGACATAAAATAATAATAATAAATTATAATTACCTAGAATATTTCTTCACCCATAAGGTAGTTAAGTCCGCAGGCTAAGAGCATTTATTTTGAAAAAATTTTGACAAATACTTTTTAAAAGTGTAAGAGTTTAAATTTTACTTTTTATTTTAATTAATATTCTTTATAATCAAATAACTATATTAATAAAATTGTATTAATCGAGAGTAATAAGTAAAAATTTAGACCTATATACTTTTAAGATAAATTTAACAATTTTCTCATTATTATTTTCTTTGTTGGCTCTGTGCAGGCCCTTTTGCTGATGACATTAGTAAATGACAACGTAGCAATTACTCATAATCTTATCTTCAATTTCTCTTAACCTGTAGAAATATTACTTCAGAAAACTCTGAAATATGTTCACTTACTCACGTTTATGTGTGCATTAATTTATCGTTAACAAGTTTCTTGTGAGTTAAACTATTCGCATATGAAGTTACTAAAGCAACTCACATAGTGATGAAGTTGGACTTTAATTTTCAATTTTTACCTTGATGAAATGTTTTATGATAAAATTTCCCTTCACAAATATATATGTGGAGTTATTCATCTATTTATTTACTTTTTGTTGACAATGTACCCATTTCAAACCATAAATTATTTAACTTAATACTACCTGAAATAAATGATAGAGGGTGTTGACGGTGAAATTTCGTCAACAGGATTACGTCGGGTCTCCCCTTAGTATCCCGTAGGGTTACCGGCCTAATATTAGTATATATTCGAATTGTCGTTTACGAAGTGTTTGTTGTAGTTCTGAAACATGAGAAATATGAAGAAAGTACTAAAAATAGAAGAACACTGAAGTTTTATAGTGGTTCACTCTATTAATGAAGAGCTACATCCACTGTATTTTCTGTATATATATTTTTTGTTCTCTGATTACACATGAATCATCCAGATGAGGCCCTTGAGCTCGGGGCATTGCCCCTCTTTTATAGCCCAAGTTTCCTTCCGGGGGTGGTTTTCCTCCGTAGACCTAGCACTTGAGTGCCTACTGTCTTATGGGCCTAGACCCATAGCTAACTAATTACCTTTTGGACTGTTCATTCATCTAATTAGTCCTTTATTACGGTTCTGCACTCCCTGCAACCTTCCACCGTCCACTTGTGGACGTTTTTAGGGGTTCGTAATTAATGCATGTATTGCAGACATCCCTCAAACCTAGACGTTACCCCAGGGGGTCCCTCGTTTATACGGTCGGCGTCCAGCTGGTCGTGTGTTTATATGGTCGGCCTCTTGTTCCTAGATGAAACAGGGCTAGGCGCCGATC